TTTATTGCCCATGCTGGGTGCGAGGGTTACAAAGATTATTCAGTGCACCCGCTTTCCAGGAGCTCACATTTCAGCATGGAGAATACAGCTCTGAAAAATACACATTACAAAATAAGGTTGGTACCTTCTAGAGGTGTGTGAGGCTGGAGGACAAAGCAGGCTTGGGGAGAAGGGGCCAGGCAAGGCTTCATGACAGAGGCCAAGGCTGAATCCGTTTGGGGCTACGGTGGGAAGAGGGTAGTGAATAGGATAGTATGTGTAACTAAATCCAAAATTAGATAAAGAGTTACCTTTTTATGTGTATTTCCCCTTACGATGGCTAGAGTAGAAACCCTCTGAGGGCAGGCATCGGATCTCTGTCCCTCTGTGAACTCCACGATGCCCTGCACAGGGCTGAGGGTGACATGGTGTGGTGGTTACCACACGGGCTCTGGACATGCGTGTCTGTTCACATCCCTGAGCTGAGCAAAGTTAGGCAGGTTCACTTAACCCCTTTGGGATTTAACTGTAAAGTGAGGGTAACAGTAGTATCTCCTTCATGGGGATTTCAGGAGCATTAAAGAAGAAGCTACACATAGAGAGCCTGAGCTCTCTCTAATAATAATATATAAGAATATATAATATAATCACATATATATAATGACTATATAATAATAATATATAATAATGCCAGGCACACGCCAAGTTCTCAAGGAACATTTGCTGATTAGCCTCATCTGCATTACGGACAATGTTATACCATTCAGGGCGGCTTAGTACAATAAAGTGGGAAAACCACACGCAACTAAATGCAGCAAAGCAATTTCAACCCAACCAGCTGAGTCTAGTTCAATTAATATCAGTTCCAAATGATGCCTGATTAAAAATAGCATTGTTTTCTTGTTTCCTGAAATGATATGTGGGAGTAGGCTCTCCTCTAAGACAAGAGGAACATTTGTTTGTTGACGATATTCATAGAACTGATCATTGATGTTTCTCTTAAAGGACCCAAGACTCTGGCTGTTATATCGAGGGCACACCCCGGGCCCTATGCTTCTCCTGCCCCACGTCTGTCTACCCTGGTTTCCCTGTCCACTCACTTTCTAAAGGGCCAGCTTTCCCTGGGTAGGCAGTAAATGAAGGAAGAAGCATCATCTAGATATTCAGCCAGGAAGAGAAGTCTTTCTAAGAACACATACGTGCACAAAGCTGGTGCTTATCTGGATGGCCATGCGGTGGTGACAAATGTTGAACCACCAGCTCTCTGGGGAAAAAAGCGCCCCAATTTATAATAAAATTTGTCAATTTCCGTGGCGTAACTAGTCCCACGAGGCTGGTTTGAAGCTGCCGGGGTGATGTCCCTGCATGTGGAATTGGGAAGAGATGCACAGTAGCGCAACCTAAGACAGCATTTCCATGATAAAGACACAGTAGTAGCAGATAATCCCAAGAGCAGAGATAATAGTAAAACGTAGTAAATTACAGATGGTCCCCAACTTACGATGGTTCAACTGAGGATTTTTTGGCTTTCGGATGGTGCAAAAGTGATGCCCACTTAAGGGAACTCTACTTTGAATTTTGAGTTTTTATTTTTTCTCAGGCTAGCGAAAGGAAGCATGCCAGGCTTTTGTGACGCTGGGCAGTGGCAGGGGCCACAGCTCCCGGGCTGCCATGTGAACAACTGATACACTCAACCACCCTGTACCCATACAGCCACTCTGTTTTTCACTTTCAGGACAGAATTCAATCCATTACAGGAGCTACTCAACACTCTATTAAGAATGGGCTTTGGGTTAGGTGATTTTGCCCAACTGTAGGCTACTGTAAGTGTTGTGAGCATGTTTAAAGTAGGCTAGGCTAAGCTAGATGTATTGTAGGTTAAGTGTATTGAACGCATTTTTGACGATATTTTCAACTGATTATGGGGTTATCAGGATGTAACCCCACTGTAAGTCAAGGAAGATCTGTAATTAGAAAGTGATAACTATTGAGTATTTGTTGCCTTTGTATTTTAATATAATTTAATAGTGAGTTTCTATAATTTAATTTTTTAAGATTTTTTAAATTTATTTGAGAGAGAGAGAAAGTGCGTGTGCAGGTGCAGGTGCAGGATGGGGGGAGGGGCAGAAGGAGAGGGAGAGCGAGAATCTTAAGCACACTCCTCGCTGAGCGCAGGGCCCTACACAGGGCTCGATCCCACGACCTTGAGATCATGACCTGAGCTGAAATCAAGAGTTGGATCCTTAACTGACTGAGCCACCCAGGCGCCTCTCTTTAATTTTTTTTTTAAGATTTTATTTATTTATTTGACAGAGAGACACAGTGAGAGAGGGAACACAAGCAGTGGGAGTGGGAGAGGGAGAAGCAGGCTTCCTGCAGAGCAGGGAGCCCGATGCGGGGCTCGATCCCAGAACCCTGGGATCATGACCTGAGCTGAAGGCAGATGCTTAATGACTGAGCCACCCAGGTGCCCCTCTAATTTACTTTTTAACAACAGCTGTGTCTTACCATGGCTCCCCAAATTTCTGAAATGGTAATGGTCGCTCTTGCGATGGGTGCAGAGCTGGCTCCAGCCCATCACCGGATCTACAGTGTCTTCCACATGGCATCCCTCATGTTGCCATTAAATCTTTGCTCCGCTGAGATACAAGATTGCTTTTACACACATTTTCTTAGGCATACACCCACTCATACATACACAGACATATTCTTACGCAAAATACGTGAGAAAACCTCTCCTGCTCAGCCTTGCTCATTACCCCCTCCCCTCTTCCCCCCAGAACAACCAACCAACCTGACCTACACTTTCATGGAAACCTCAGAACATGGAGGCAAAAGAAAGAAACAATACCAGAAGGGAATACTTAAAATGGAGGAAGAGTAGACAGGAGACAAAGGAAGGAGAAAAGAGAGTGAGGAGGGCAAGAGCAGAAGTCGTCACCCCCCATTCCTCCCCTGGAAGCCCCAAGTACAGGGCACCAGGGTATACTGAACACTAAATACACCAAGCTGCTTTGGGTCTCCCCAGAACCCTGGTTCCTAGCCCTCGGCCCCAACTCTGGCCTGAGTGGAGAGGGTGAAGGCAGGAAACGGCTCTATAAACAACGTGTTGCAATAAGGGGTTTCTCCCCATGAGAAGAACTCTGAAATGTGGTCCCCAGGGGACTCGTGAGCACTGGCTGTTCCAAAGCTCTGTCAGACAAGCTCCTGAGAAGTCTGGACTAAAAACATGGCATTTAAGCTCAAAATGGCAGCTGGGAGATGTTAACACTTCTTTTCTAATTGGGATAGTGCGCTTTTAAAATAAATAGGTATTTCAAATGCTCTTAATTAGACTTCCATCCAGAGTGTTTTCCATCTGAAGCCTGCTGATTACTTCAGGCAAAGCTGGGCCCTGTTGAACCTGACACCTGCTGTAATTCAGGAGAAGGCTCCCAGAGAGATGAGCAAGAGGAATTATGGGGAAGACATGCAGCTATTTCCCACAGGCCCAGGACTGTCTGGGATGGGGGTGTCGGAGAGGATGGAGCATCTCTTGCCCTGAAAACCTCAGGAATTGACCAGTGTTTTCCAGTCATTTTTTCTAGTCACTCAGCCTCGTGAAGACTGGAGAATAGACCAGATGGCAGCCCTCAGATGCAGGGCCTAGTGGCAGTCCTTAGGGATGACTCCCCACCCAGTGACCTATTTGCGAGGTCCGAGGGTCACCTTGGCACAGCTGCCCCACAGAGGTCCTTAAGACCCTTCCTAGCCCAGCCCTATGAATCGGGGCCCCGGGGGGAGTCCTGGCTGCTTCCTGGAGAAGCACTCAGGAGCATCTCAGCCCTGACTCCCTGCCTGCATCTCTGGTGATGGGAGGGCAGGCCCAGCACGTTGGCCTGACCTCTCAGTGCCAGGGTCCATGGAGGGAAGCTCAAGTTCTGGTCAGTGTGCCTCAGGCTTCCTCCTTCCTTGTTTCTGATGCAACCAGTGGCTATGTGATATGATCATTACTCTAACTGAAACTAAACAACCCGCCTTCCTAATAATCCAAATTATTGGGGTTCAGTGGGTCATCCCTATGACACTGGGGGTCTCCTCCATCTCCTCTCTAGATGTCCTGGGTGCTGGACTTCTCTGATTTCAGGTGGTTCCAGGGGCCAGGGCATCTCAAGTGGAACCCTTCATTTGGAATACATGAATTGCTTATTTCATCGCCATAAGTGCTTGGCCAGCTGGAGAGGAAACAAGGGGGTCGTGCCCCAAATACCGGCTCCACCAGGCTTTCTGGGAGCTGAACTCTCCTCCCAGGTGACTTCCTTGGGTCCCATATCAAAAGGGGGCATTTTCTGCAGCTGTCCACTGCTTAAAAGGTGCCAAGTTTCCCTTAGCATATCACTGTGTCGGTTAGTGTTTGCATTATTAATGTGTTAAGTGAGCCCATCATTGTTGGCAGTGAATGGCATGGGGGCTAAGAGCACCACGTGTGGACTCAGAGACCTGGCTTCACATCCTAGTTTCAATGATTCCTAGCCATGTAACCCTGGGCAAGTCATTAAATTGCCCTCATCCCAAAAAATGCACTTACTTCTGAGGACAGTCACGAGGCAGAAAGGAGACCAAGCACACACAGCAGTGCACAGGGGTGGTTCAGAAAACAGTCGCTGTCTTCATCACTCATGGTTGTTGTTAGGATTCATTAGTAGTAGCTCTGGAAAGCTCAGAGTAGAGCTCTGAGAAGCTGGGGCTTAGGGGTGAACTTGGGTTGGGGTGTGGGGTGAAAAGGTCAGGAGATGAGGCAGCAGCTAGGAAGGTGGGGTGCCAGTCTGGACAACTGGGAGCAAGCATGCAGGATGGGGGTAACTTGTCCCAGAGAGCAGAGAGGAGGAGCATCCAGAGGAAGCTGCACTGACAGCAAACCTTGCCTTCCTTAACCTTCTTGAGGGTTCTAGATGGATTATCTGTTAGCTGGGTCTAGGTTTCCAAGACCACACAGCTTGTATTACCTTCACCTTCTTCCTGCATCTTCACTTCGTACCCACCTAGAGCTACCTGCTGCATATGCCGCTGGGTGATTTCTTCCTTCAGGCGACCTGTCAAAGACACAAAGGAAAACCACTAGTGAGTTTCCTGCAGGCTGGAGGAAGACTTTACCTCAGAAGCAGGTTGCAAGCAAAAAAACCCCCAAAACAAAACAAAAACAAGGTAGAGGAAGGAAGATAAAAGTGGGCATAGCTTCCAAGAAGAGCCCTCCAGGCACTGGGTGGTGTTGGAAGAACAGGCTGGCTGGCATGCTGGCATCTTGGCACATCAATGTAAATACACATTTCACCTTTGGGTTCAGTTACCTTAGTCTGTCACTTGTAACCTTTGTTAGGGCCCTAGTCTCTTCAATAGTTCTATCTGTCTGTTATTAATGGAAGGAGAGGCAGGATTGGATCTTATAATAATTTACAGGGCCACTTTTAAATCTACTTTTATTCTTTTAAGCTGTATGAAACTGTGTCAAGGAAAAAAATGGTTTTAGTTAAGGATAACCTTAATATGAACACAGCAGTTGATCATTTACTATGAAACATATATTATTTATTCTAGGTTGCATTAATAAAGGTATAGTGTGTAGTTGAAGGAAGGTGATGGTGGTGAACTCTGCATATGTACGCTGTAGTGGTCAGACCACAGTTGGCATTTGTTCTGGGAGTTACTCTTCATAAGGAATGTTAGTAAAATAGAAAATATTTATAGAAAATGGTGAGGGATCTAAAACTATGCCATATGAGAAATATTTGAGGTGATCTGAGATGTTTAGATGGAGAAGGAAAGACTTGGAGGGAGAAGAGGCTCAGAGATAATCACTGTCTTTAAAAATCTGAACGTTGTCAGGGTGCCTGGGTTGCTCAGTTGGTTAAGCATCTGCCTTTGACTCAGGTCATGATCCTGGGGTGCTGGGATCAAGCCCTCATCAGGCTCCCTGCTTAGCGGGGAGTTTGCTTCCCCTCTCCCTCTGCCCCCCCACCCCACTCATGCTTTCTTTCTCTCTCTCAAATAAATAAATAAAATCTTTTAAAAAAATTAAAAAAAATCCAAACGTTGTCATTTGGATGAGAGAACAGATTTATCTTGGTCCTCTCCCTGAGGGCAGAAGTCATGTTGAATAAAGACAGACTAGGGGCTCAATAAGAGGGAAGAAACAGTTCACAATGAAGACTGTCTCCACATGGATTAAGTTGTCTCAACCTGGACTACATTTCCCGGCAGAGCAGTGAGTCCTTTCCTGACAGTGTTTGAGAAGAGGCTGGGTGATAGTCTTCGGGGTGTGAGAGCGAGAACTCCTGCCCTGGGGAGGACTTGGGGTGAAGTGACCTCCAGTGTTCCTCTATCTCTACTATACTTCCATGATTTCATGCTGGAAGGAGGGGTGAAGCACCCCACCCCCTGGGTTTGTTTATATCCAAGGGCTCAGCACACTTGTTAAAATGTCATTGCTGTCTGCATCACGTGTCCCATTCACGAGATGTAACCGGGCCCCTGGGGACCCCGAGAGAGCCTGGGAACTTCACCGCTCCCTTGTCTAATGTATTCCTTTCTTTACATAAAGTACATTTGACACCTCAAAGGCGATAGCTGAACTGAGTTTTTGAAAGATGAGTAGACAATGAAGCAGTCACAGGAGACCCCGTCACTCACAGAAAGTTCTAGGGCATCTCTATAGAATGCTATGACTGGGAGGGACGGCAGAGGTCATTCACTTTAACGTCCCGCCCCATTCAGGAGTCCCTGCTACTTGTATGACTTGTATGTATCCAGGCTGTTCCACTGATTAAGTTGTATAAACAGTAACTCCTGATGTGATGTTGACACTTGCTTCCCTTAACTTCCAGATTTGGACCTGGTCGGTTCTCTGGAACAGCATAGGAGAAGGATCCTCTCTCATTGGCAGTGAGGATCTGAGTATGCCATGTCTCCACCTGGACTTGTCCTCTCTGGGTTAAATGTCACCAGTTCCTTCAGCTCCTGCCAGAGCGCCAGTCTGCGCCTTGCCTTCCATGTGTCCCCACGGGAGAGGACTACGCGCAGAGAGGAAGCCAGGGATTGGGCATAAGCAGTGGGAAACCCTAATTTCAAGTGGGGAAGGGTAAGAATTTAGGGAATGTGTTGGGCGGGGGGAGAGGTGGAGAAGTGGAAATCTGGCCCAAGGGTGAGAATTGGACCAGCCTGGCACCTGTGCCTCCTTCCGGTTGAGACGGGGTGGGGACTTGCTCCTTTGGAGGACACACTGGGCTGCATTCCTCCTTGGGAAACCGTCTCCCAACGAGGCTCCTGACAGCTTGTCTCCCTGACCATGGGCCTCCCCAATGAGAGGTCTCCTCACCTACATGCCTCCCACCCTCATGCCTCACCCCCGTAGATGTTCAGTCTCGCATGGCATGATTTCCCCTGCTCCCAGCGGAATGACAGACCGGGGTCCCTTCTCCAAACCCCGGGGAAGCAGGGTTAGATTCTCCACGGCCCCCAGCCTGGGAAGAGCTGCTCATGTAAATAAAGAGGGGAATTTGCCCCCAGGACTGCCAGATCTATAGACTCCACAAACAGAAATACCTACTCCCAGAACAATGAGCCATCCTGAGGGGACAACAGGTGGGTCTTTATAATGCTCATATTGAGAGAGGTAGGTTTAATGTGCGTATGGATGTTCAGTTTGGGTGACTTGGCTAACGTTGACTACCACATGGTGATTTTTGTTTCTGAGATGTTCCCAAACAAGCATCTAAAAATAGCCTTATAGCTGATACCTAATTGCATTTTCTAACAGAGTCATTCTTCATGTGAAGATAACGGTCTCTGCAATCGGCTGGATCTTGCAGTTCCACAGGTTTTGGCAAAAGAAGGAGTTGAGGGGGAAAGCAGAATTCACTCAGCATGAGACTTGCTGTCATTAGCATGGTGATAAATTTGCTGGTTTTGGCCTGGGTTCCTGGACACATCCCCATCCTGAGGTATGGAAAAGAGATGAAACGGAAACAGAGAACTCCCAGCCTGAGGCAGGAGATGGTCAGGGAGGGCAGCTGGGGCGTGGAGGGATGGGGGAGGCTCCACTTGTAGGTGAATGGTGGTACTTAGTAATTCTGTCTCCAGTAACTTACAATAGTGCATGCCAGAAACACCCTCTCTCCCTTTCTGATTCATTGATAGCCAGAATGGGGATGTTAGTAGGGGGCGGAGGGGTACTTGGAACCTGCAACCACCCTGGGGAGCTCCAGTGGAGATGCATGACCTTCCTAATCGCTACATGTGGGGTGGTGTGGCATAGAGTTTTTCTGTACCAAGTAGTTCATATGAAAAATATTATCATCATGCAGAAGCAACACTTATTTTTTTACAATGATAATCTTTTGGATAAAACAATTTTCCTCAAGCTTCACATTTTATTTTGCATGCCTGGCAGTTTGGAGTTGTTCACCAAGGGAAAGCTGCTTAGCTGATCCAGAGCAGAGCGCTTCACTTTTGACCCCCGCCCCCCGGCAGAATATGGCCATCTGCAGGCTGCTTGCACAACTTCCGTGATGCGGTGCCTTACTGAGGATGCTGACATCACGACCAGGGAGTAAATATTTCTCGCTCATGCACTGTATGTTGAGCACCATGTTAAGTGCTAGGCTAGAATATACAGACTATTTAAGAAGTCTCTTCTAGTTCAAGAAAGCTAGCCTGATACAGGGGACCACAAACAGGGTGCCGGCATATTCTTCCTTTTAAGAGCTGGACCCATGACAGACCTTGCTCTTCCCTCATGGATGGTTTGTATTCCTGTTGAGCCTGGGTTGGGCTCTTCAACACAGCACTTTGGGCAGCTATAACCATTCACTGGGAGTTGACCTCGAGATGAAGCAAACCTCTTTGCCATTTTGGTTAAACTAGAAGATAATTACAGACTTGTAGGTCTACAGATTTTAAGTTCAAATCCCAACTCTGCTACTTCTAGTAGGGCAGGTTACTTAACATTTCTGAGCCTCCATTTTATCCTTTGAAAAATGGGTCATAGTAAAATAACTGGGATAATATCCATTTTACCATCTCTCAAGACGTTTGGGAGGATAAGAGATAACATGTCAACGTATGTGACACACCAGACTAGTTTAACCATGAAGGCACTTTCAGACATATGGAAAGGATACTATATTCAGAAGATGACAGGTCTGAAGGACGAGTGGTTAAATGTCAAATCAATGGTAGACTTAAGCTTAGAGGAGGAAAGGTGGGTTATCGGCATTAGGAAAGGCATCATCACTAATGGTGAGCCTTGGGTGGATTCTGAAGGGAGCAGAGGTGTTAAGGTGAGGGTGGGGAAGACACTGCAGTCAACGATGATGGTGGGGGCAACAATGGTGGACAAGGCCAGGCATACACTGGTTTGGGGTGGGGATTGGAAGGGAGGGCTTGAATGGAGCAGTAGGGCTGGGAAAGACTAGAGTCTAGGGTCCAGGGTCATTACTAAGGGCTCTGGACCCCAGTGAAAATCTGTTCTTCTATTTGACTCTATTACTATAGCATTTCAGTAAAATCAAATTAAAGTAAACTTCAGTAGCAGGATTGGGGTGTGGGGAGAGGACACAGAATTGTATCGTCTGCTTGAGGGGCCTCTTTGAAGGGAAAGTCTAGTTAGTGGGTCTGAATTCAGAGTGTGGATTTCAGCTGTGACGTGGGATGCCAGTTTCTTTGTACTCTAACACAGAGGACTGTGATTTCCAAAAGGTTAGACTCCCCAAAGACGGTTTGTAAGGCTATTTGTAAAATTAATGGGCCCAGCATAAATTATGTGTGTAATGCTTAGATGAATTTCCAACAAACAGGAATATGTAAATCCTTTGAAGTCTTAAGATCAGGCATATTCATCTCCTCCTTGCTAATATCTCTTTCATCAGGTTGTATCTAAACTTGTTTGGATAATTTGAAAATCGATTGAGGCAGGACCTACCTCTTCCCACCATAGCAATGATGAATAAAATAAAACAAGAGAATATTAAGGAGACTTTGCTAAATTAGCTTTCAAGACAGATTTCTGAAGACCTGAAGT